AATTGATTCCATATTCAGCGTCTAAAAAATAGTCGCGATAACATTTTGGATTTCACATTCAGCGTCTAAAATGATAACATTAACCACTAAATTTTTGTCACTAAAGATACATTCGGCCACTAATAAAATAGTCCAAAAACTTATTGGATTCCACATTCAGGTCTAAAATGCTATAATAACTCTAAATTTTAGTCACCAAAAGATACATTCACCACTAAAAATAGTCCCGAAACCCTATTGGATTCCACATTCAGCATCTAAAATTACTATAATTAACTACTAAATTTTAGTCACCAAAAGATACATTCGGCCACTAATAAAATAGTCACGAAAACCGTTTGGATTCTGCATTCAGCATCTAAAAGAGTTACAATTAGCCACTAAATTTTGGTTACAAAAAGATATATTCGTTGACTATTAAAATAGTTGCTAATGCCTTTTTCTAAATTATCCTTACACCTTTGGCGTCTAATTTGTGTGGGATTCGCGACAAATTATTAGACACTAAAACTGACATTTTGCAACTAATTGATTAGTCGCTATACAATTTTACCAAATTACCCTTCAACTTTTAGCGTCTAAGTTGGGGGACTATTTTGAACAACATTTGCCGACTATTTTGATAGTTGCAAAAAAAAACTTTTTGCGTCCAAACCACAATATAGATGCGCTATGAATCTGCGACCAGCCTACTGCAACTAAGGGGGCAACAACCAAATTTAGACGCTAAAAATGGTTTAGCGTCTAAATGTGACTTTCTGCGTCTAATTTTGCTAGACGCAAAATGTCAGTTTTCTTGTAGTGTTTATGGGGGTTTCTATGTGACGTGGCATGGGACGGCTCGGCTTGTGACTTTTCACCGAGTTTTAACGCCATGAGTATTCTATGCGAGACGTGATCAGTGTTTGCCAGCCCTTTGGAGCCCTTAGACCTATTTTTCGCTACTTACTTATCCTTCCTTCGGCGCGCTGCAGTGCTCGTGGCGCAGGCTATTGCCTTTTGCCGCGCTTTCGCGCGACCTGTAGGCATTTTGGCGGTTGCACCGCCCCATTTGATTCGGGTGGCATGCCCCGATCCAAATGGTCCAACCTTCGGTTGACTGTCTGGAGAGTATTATCGAACCTCTCCAGGTAGCTTTTGATGGTAGGGTCAAGTAGTGAACTTGACGGGATATCCCCCGGGACATTTTGTGGAACCGAAGGTACCTCGAGAGAGGTGTCCTCCTCTACTTGGGGGATCTCCTCAACACCCTGGTTGGTTTGTTTAGGTTCAAGTCGGGGGGCCATTTGCTATTGTAGGACCAGTAAGTTAGAGATTCTCCTGATGAAGGACGAATACTAAATCAGGCCCCTCTTTCTAGCACCAAACTATTGATGTGTGATTTTGACACCAACCAAACGCATGTGTGAAATGCTGAGCAGGCTCAGAAGACACGTGAATGTGAAAAAATGAGAGTAAAACTAATGGAAAACAGTTTGTAAAGTGGTTCGGATGCTTAAGTGAGCATATCCTACGTCCACTAATTTTGCATTAACAATAGTGGTCAGGTCGCATTCAGCAGACTGACTTACAAATGATTACACGAAAGTAAATGCTCTTTTTCTTTAGAGAGATTAGCTAATCCTTTAAATGAAAGAGGAGCTCTCAATTTATAGTGGGATGGATTAAGGTTATCATTACTAAATCTGTGAGTTGGTGGGATTATCCGTGCAAATCCTTCTTTATGTCCCATTGCCCACCTTCTAGAGCTATTTACATGATTTGGTGCAAGGATTGGACACACGGAATCGGTATAGCTCTTGGCTGGTCTGACGCGCACCCATAGCCCTAACACGAGCATGCCGCCCTTGTCATTGTATGACATGGCTGCCTCTGACTGGCTGCAGGCCTACCTATGCTCTGACTTTTTATGCTGACTAAGTCTTGTGTCAGCCCCACATTTTTAGGCATAACAGAGATGAACCTCAACTTATGGTTGGGCGGGATGCAATCTCAGTCCTCTAGTATTTCCCACGTGGCACACATCAAAGCATAAAGCCAAGCCGCCTTTAAGTGTGGTTAGTGGCAATCGCGTTTTGTGTCGAAAAAAGAATGTCAACTTGATAGACAAGGCATTAAATGCATGGATGTGACGTTTCTAGTCTTGGAAGCGAAGTACCGTCTTTTCCCTAACATGCTCGTCCATAAGGCTCGTTTTGAGAAATGCTTTAGTTTTTGACGCACTTGTTAGTCCTCAACACCAAGAAAAGGTGAGCTTTTCCTCAAGTTACAATTCCTCGTCAACATGACATTATAAGTCGTCTGCGATTCATAGTGACAAGTAGAGCTCGTCATTAAGAGCTCGAAAACGTCTGATCGTATCTCAAAGTTGGGAGATTCATTTGCTCAACAACAGACAGACCACACAATCGTCAGCTCGGAAGAAGAGGCTTGTAGTTTTTGAAGTCCGCAATCGATCTCCAAAAACTAGGGGGCTGTTGTTGAAAGAATACGTGCTTATTAGGGGTAAAATGGTGGAAAGAGGTGTAAAATGGTGTAACATGAATAAAGGTTCAATAGACATGAGGGTGGAATTGTTACCTTTTTGAAGCTTTACAACTCTTATATCTTTAATCGGAGATGAAAGATATTCAAAACTTGATGAAAATCCTCAAAGCGTATCCACCCATAGCACAAAGAGAGAGAGCCGATTTTTGCTAAGGTTTTGGGTGAGATGTTTTCTTGCAAAATTAGGTTAAAATTAGAGATAATCACATATTTATATACATGGACCATTTTATAATTTTGAAAATTTTTGGGTGCGTTTGGTTTATTATTTTGGATAGGATTTTGGGGATAGTATTGGGTTGTTGGATAGGGGAGTATTACGAGGTAAACTTTAAAAATTTATGAAAAAGCCTTTAGGTTTACTAATTTAATTAAAGACCCTAATATATAAAATAACAAAAACACCCCCACCACCCGCAGTGCCAGATTCCGGCCACCACAGCCAGAATCTGGCCGAAAAATTTCGTTACGACATAGACCGGTCGGATCTGTGCCGTAACGAGTCGTTATGGCCTTTTCCGGCCAGATCCACCATGGATCTGGCCGGAAAAGGCCAGATCTACGAACTGCTATGGCTGCGACGGTCGGAAAAGGCTGAAACGACGACCATTTCTTTGGCCATCGTTGACGGCAGATCTGGCATTTTCCGGCCAGATCTGGCCATTACCGGCTTTTTCCGGTGGCTGTGTGACTATTGTGATAGATTCCGGCTACCACCGGCGGTGGTTGCCGGAATCTGGCAGGTATTGGTGGGTGGGGGTGTTTTTGTTAGTTTTTAAACTTTTTTTCTAGGGGGTATTTATGAAATTAATAAACTTATAGGGTCTCAACGTAATTAAAAAAATAGACTAATATTTTGGGAATAACGTGCCAAACAACATTTGAAAAATAGGATTGAGAATATGGATAAAAAAAAATAAGCCAAACACACCCTTAAGTTCTTTGAAACAATTTCAAAATTGTTATTAACTTTTTAATAACATTTCATTATTGCCATTAAGTCCTTGAAACAATTTTAAGTTGTTATTAACTCTTTAATAACAATTTATTGTTGTTCGTAAACCCTTGAAACAATTTCAATTTAATAGAAAGTCCTTGGTTTAAACAAATTTATAACCAAGACATATAATATAATCCCATTTAATATATTTAACCCATTATTGAATCCAATCCAATAATTATATATTAGCTCATTATTGAATCTAATTCAATAATAATCAAATGTCTGTATTACCTTTGGTAAGTATTAGCTTTCCATGAATAATTATTTCTCATCAATACATAAATTCAAATGCACATGTTTACATCCGAACATCGTTAACCTTTGATAATATGTATTACTCTCTCTCCTCTTACATTGTTTTTAGGTGTGATCGATTAGATTCACTATAACCTAGTCGCGGGCCCAACATCGGAATCCGACATGTTTCATCATAACTCTTTATGATCGAAACTCCCACTGATCAAGGTAGGCATCTAGCGATGCTCCATGTCCCTAAGCCACAATGATGTTAAATTCCAATAAACCTTTTTTTTTTTTTTTTTATTGTATGTATTGTGTAGTAAAATCCTTTCATCATCTAATCACGATTGAGAATAGATTTATAATATGTTAAAACCCTTAACTTAATTTTTAATTGAATCGTCAATCAATATAATTGAACGTGTCATCATGAAACTACTTTTCAGATGACAATCTTATATTTTGGCCAAAGATTTCCTTATCCAATGTTTATTGATATTCGTCTAGGAACTCGAGATCAAACTATTTTGAGCTAACGGATCTCATCTTGACCATCACCTATTCTTACATATGAATAACATATGACCAAACTGGCTTCTTGTATAAGACATGACTAGTGTCGTGCTTATATATGAGCCATATGCATCCTATATGGAATCCAACCTTGATGTCTTAAGTCTAAGGATCAATAGTATACTAGTATGAAATTGCGATGTATCATTGACAACATTCTAAATATCCATTGGATTCATTGTACTTGGTCATATTCGATAAACAGTTTCATTAACCATTTATCCATACTAATGATATAGTGACATAACTCTTATAATTACCTACAGTAATACTATCATATTATATGGACAAAAGTCTATTTCAAATGAATAGTCATCCAATAACAATGGACGATCGTCCATATTTGATGGATGACCGTTCATTCACAAAATATTTGTTAACGTGATACGTGGCTCGTTTGATTCAGTAGACACGCCATTCGGTGTAAAAATTTGATGCAACGTGTCAGTGTCCGTAGCATTATTCTTTATTTTAATATCTAAAATTTTAAGACAGGAGAATTTATATTATTTCAGGAACTTAGGGTATTATTTTTTAGTAAAACCTTTGGAGATTATTGTTATTAACTTTTTAAAATAATTTATAATAAAATTTGAAAAGAACAATAATAAATAAAACGAAACTCCAACTCTGTAACTCATATGCTGAGGTGGAGAGCTAACCAGGAAGATACTGAAGAGTCAAAATATTGCATTTAAAACTTGAACCTCAAGAAGAAGAAATCAGAAACCCTCAAAAATTTCCGACTCTTGAATGGTTCTTTACGAAGCTTGCTTCATCTTTCTCTTTTACGGTTTTCTTTTAATTTATTTTTTGATGTATCGATATAACTAACTTTTAAAGATTCAATTTTCAAGTGTTTTTTAGGGCACAAATTAACATTATTTCAGATTTTTTGGTGTCATTGTAATTATCTGTTGTTTTATTTCAAAATTTTTTTTGTAGGATTCATTGAGAAGCAGTGGAAAAGTCGAGGCTATGGAAACTCAAGATGACGATTCACGTGTTTGTCTTCTTAAATTCATCTTTATTTTCTTTAATGATTTTTCATTTAATTTATCAAATAAAATTTTAGTTTTATTTGCAATTAGATGGATAATGAATGATGCATGGTTTTTTTTATTTTTTATTATTTTATGTTTTAACGCAGATTGGCTGAATTAGATTAGTGTTGAAAATTAAACCCTATGGCTGTGAAGTTTGCTCAATTCAAGATTATTTTTAATTGAAAGTTTTTAAATTTTGTGAAGTTTGCAGTATTTTCTATTGTGATTAGCTGAAAAGGTTGATGATTTACACTGAAATATTTAATGAGTGTTGTATCACATAATTTGAATGAATTGTGTTACAGGGCCTTTATTTAATTAGTAAAAGACAATAATGATGAAGGTATTTTGAAAGATTTAAAAGTTTTCAGATAATGTAAATTTGTGTAAATGTCATGGATGCAGTTTATTTAAAGTACTGAATTTAAAAAAAAATAATTTCTCAAATTCTGGATTCTTGCTGTGTACCAGACAAATAAAGAGTAAATAGATAATCGATTTCTTAAACGTAATTCAGTTGTGTAATCATTTTTTCTTTCATCCCAATAGTCATTCTAGCATTTTGGGTAATTTGCCAAGAAATCGAAGAAAAATGCTTTTGATATATTGCAATTACCATGACAAACACATTCGCATATTCTTGTCATGTGTTTCTGATATACAGCTACTGAGTTACAAAAATGTTTGTATACCTATCTTTTCCAAGGAAAGATTGAGGGAAGCATATTTTATAGGTTTTTTCATTGATCCATTTATGTTTTTAACTGCATGTTACTTGTTATGTTCTTGCAGTTGCTATGGTTGGTTTTAGCTTAGGGTTCATTATCAACTTTCAGGATGTGTTTGATGAGTTTGTTGATTTGTTGAGCACCTCATACCAGGGAAGAGCTTTGTGTTGGAGAAGTTATAGGCATGCATATTGCTCACTTGTAATAAGCCAATGTTAGTAAACGTTTACTTGATGAGAAAGTGGCTGTCTGTAAAGGATTGACTGACAACCAAACATTAGTGAACTAAATTGCTCATTGGTCATTTCTATTCTGTCATTTACGAATCAACTCTTGTATGTATTTACAATATCTGAACATATAGATTTGTGTATCTTGGATTGCTAACAGTCAGATCTGCTACTTCTAGTGTCATTTAATTCTCTCATTCAGTATCCTGCTCCACAAGCATGTAGCTGTACTCTAGTTTATGCATTTATGACAATTACATGGTATACAGTTCAGTCTTTGGGCATTGCATTGATAACTCATTAAGTTTGTCTTTGAAAATTGCTCTATTCCATGGTGACGACACATTTTATTACCATGCACAGAGACGGAGATTTGAGAATCTGATGAGGCTAATTGAAAGTTCTTGCCCATCCTTGCTCCTCCGCAGGAAGGAAATTGAGAGACATTTCAGCAAGCTCACGCACATCCCTGATCACCCTCCATATGCTTATGTACTTATTCTATCTTCTCTTGTAGCTTTCTTGGGAATTTTCATGATTTTACTTTTTCCTATGTTATGTTGGGTTAAACAGATTTATGGCCCATATTTTGTGTTGTGTGTTCCATAGATGATTCAAAGGGCAATCTCAGAGTTGAATGAGCTCGGTGGTTCAAGTGAGGTAACCATATCAAAGTTTATTGAGGCAGAGTATGAAGATTTGCCTTTTGCTCATGCAAGCCTATTGACTCATCACCTACAAAAGCTTGTTAAGAAAGGAGACATTGTTTGTACTTCTGGAAACTGTTATATACTTACAAATGAGAGTTCTGATTTTCATTGTAATTTGAACAAGGAACAGAAACATTTGAGAAGGAGGTGTCAGAAGGGTAGGCAGCATAAGTTCAAAGGAGTTGAATCACAAAAACAGAAAAAAATTGAAGAAAGTCAGGAAAAGACTCAAGTAAATGGGACAATATGTAAAGGAATTGAAGAACAAAAGCCAGTGGAAGGACATATTGGACCAACTGGAGAACAAGAAAACAAAGGGTATGCTGAATTGATTGAAAAACACAATGAGGTGGAAGAAATACAATTTAAAGTGAATGACGAGCAAGTTGGAGCTGAACAATACAATAAAGGGATTGATGAACATAATCAAAAGCAGGTGCAGCAGAAACAACATCAAAAAGAAATGAATTTACAGCAAGTTCAAGTGCTAGGGAAAACAAGTGAAGTGTTTGTAGAAGAGAACAATCAAGCTGAAGATAAGAATCAGGCTGAAAATCATAATGGAGTAGCTGAAGAAGGACATAAAGAACTAGATAAAGAAGTAATTGAAGAACAGCAAATTCAAGTGCCAGTGGAAGGATATATTGGACCAATTGTAGAACAAGAAAACGAAGGGAATGCTAAATTGATTGAAGAACACAATGAGTTGGAAGAAATACAATTTAAAGTGAATGATGAGCAAGTTGAAGCTGAACAATACAATGAAGGGAATGAAGAACATAATCAAAAGCAGGATCAGCAGAAACAACAGCAAAAAGAAATGAATTTACAGCAAATTCAAGTGCTAGGGAAAACAAGTGAAGTATTGGTAGAAGAGAACAGCCAAGCTGAAGATAGGAATCAGGCTGAAAGTCATACTGGAGTGGCTGAAGCAGAGCATTTGAAGGAACTAGATAAAGAAGTAATGGAAGAACAGTTTCATGAAGAACGAAAGTTAGCAAGCTTGAAGAGAAAAATAAAATTCAAGATCAAGAAAGCAAAGCTAGCAAAAAGCAGGTCCAATTACCAGAAATACAAATTGAAGGAGTTGTGGAACGGATTAATCCAAAATTTAGTGGGGAGGCCAACATTTTCGAGCCAAAAGCGGGCCAATCTTATCTGGTAGGACTCATTGAGCATTTTCACAAATTAAGACGTGGTAGCCCAGAAAAGCCACCCGAATCTCAGCAGGTTACAAGTTCTCTCAATGTATTACAGGAGCTTAGCCTGGAGCATCAGCATCAAACTACTTTTAGTAATGTGGCTAAAGTACTTGAATACAAGGTAGCAATAGTGTTAGCTTCTATTAATTTCTTAGCCAAGGCATTATTTAATAGCAAAGATTTCTCTAACACTGTAGTTACTAACTATAATATTGATGATTGGCCACAGCAACCACCAGAAAATTCAATGGAGGGAAGTCTTACTGAGCAGGAACTAACAGCAGTGGAGCACCAATTACAACCACGGCGGCAAATGCCATCTGATAGAGCACCAGGTGACCAACTGAATGCTGGAGGAAGTATTGATAGAATTAACAGGGTTGTCACACAAGTATATGTGAAGAGAAAGAAAGGAAACAAGAAGACCAAGTGCTGAGCTGGGGAAGTGTACTAGAGTTGGCTACGTGGTACCATCCCAAGGGAGTAGTTTGTTAGGACAACTGGATTGAGAGGCATAAATTGTGGGAATGTTTGTAATGGGTAGAGAATGTTTTAGTGGTATCTTGTGGGAGGTTCCTAGCACCTCGAAAGGCTAGTGTTATCTTTTTCGGCTTTTCTTTCATTCTGTTCTTATTGTCTTAGTAAATGGGTTGTTCCTTTATAACAGTCAATCAATACAAAAAATTACAGAAGAATATTCGGTCATTGTTGCTTTGTTCTGTTGTGTGTTTTGTGAATTTTGGTTGAGGTCATTGGGCTCCTATCAAATTGATATCAGAGCTGAGGTTGGGTTATGGTGAATACGAGAATGAAGTGAGGATTTGATGGATTGGAGAAGGGTATGGGGAGCGTCAAGGAAGATATCGGTAGTATTAAAGGGCATCTCATGGAGCTGAGATAGTGGATGCGACTGAAGGACAAAAAGGAAGAGAGTGGAAGTCGGGGAAAGGATAAGGCGATGCGGCTGAAAATCAGACGAGCAATAGAGGGAGCAGTCAGGGACAGACGAGGGACAATGAAACCAGTGGAGAGGATCGGAAAATAAAGAAGCTAGAATTACCGATATTTAACGGCGAAGATCCTTATGGATGGGCTTTTTGAGCCAACCGATGTTTCAATGTGAATTCTGGTTGAGGTCATTGGGTTCCTATCACCATCTAATTCTCAACGCGCTGCAGATACTTCAGTTGCAAAACAGATGCAGAAGCAACGTCAACAGAGGAGACCAAGGCCATCTGAATGTGAACCAGTTCTTGTGACTATTGAGGCTGTTCATGATTTGACCCTTGCTTCCCTGAAATCAGAGTTGAAGCAAAAGTCAATGCCTTCTACTAAAAGAATGCAAGAACGAAGACCAAAGACACTGGTTAACTCAACAAACAGAGCAACAAAAGAACCGCTGTGGACAGAAAAAGCGGCTAATATCCGGGCCAAAAGAAACAGCTGTTAATTCAACCATCACTTCTGCACCGCAGACAAAGGATCAGCTGCAGTAGAGACAATTTGTAATAGCCTCTCTCTACTCATATACTGATAAAAGATACATAACGAAAACACATGGAAAATAACATAAATAGTTGGGTCCAAAATTTTCTTTCATTAAACATATATATGTATATAGATATTTTTTACACAAAAATTGTATCATGTACAAAAGTGATCAAAAACATGGTGGACAGTGTAGCCATTTCCCTTCGCTTGCTGATGCCCATCCGACCGTGTCCTCACCTAGATCCTGCAAAACATAGGAAACAATGAGATGAGCACTAAAACAATGCTCAGTAAGTAAATCCTTTACTCATCTAACCCCGTTAACTCTCTCTAATTCTTTCCTTACAATTCTCATTTACTTTTTCTCTTATACTTCTCTCTGTTTTCTCTTTCTCATAACTCTTTTCTGCTAACTCTCTTTAGTAAGTCACGACCTCATCTTACCAGAGGCACAGTCGGGACTTGGTCCCACTCTACGTGACTTCTACTCATTCTAGCCGATCGACCTCAGTTATGCATGGATTCAGAACCCTTGACCATGTGAGTGTATAATCTCTCTCTCTCAGGTACTCTCGGGTATAACCCTCATCTGCATGCACTCTCACGGGCTACACCACTTCTCTCTCTCATACTCATACCGCTCTCTCAATGCGGCGTACATGCGGGAATACTCTACCCATTACTCACGGGTTCCCCATCGCACAACTTACTCTATGCTCTTTTCTCTCTTTTATTCTCTAGTGCTCAATCTCTCTTTCTCTTTACTAAAGCTCACACTCAAAATTCTCTATTCTTTTTCTACTCTTTCTCTAATGCATAATTAATGCATATGGATGACTCATATTCATTAATACACTAATGAAATGCAATTATGCTATGTAGTAATAATTAAGGCTTTCTACTCTTACTCATGCTTCTCTTGAGCATTTCATCACACAACTCATGTGCATATTTAAAACTCTATGTTAACAATAACTCTTCTCTTCTCTTAAACCTTCCCAATATGGGAGAAAACTCTCTCATAAACTCTAATTTCCTGTCAATAAAACAAACACTTCCATAGGGTTTTCTAAAACTCCCTTCAACTTCAATCAAACTCAACTCAACACCATAAAATCTCAACACTTCTCATATTCCAATACATTCAACAACCACAAAGCAAATATTGATCTCAACTCAATTCTCAATAACATAACATACTTACATAAATCTCTACTCAATCTCTACTCAAAGGATTTCTCAAATCTCAACTTAGGTTGGATTTACTTACCTTCTGAAAAAGTGACGTCTCTAGTACTTTTCCTTTCCCTTGTTGTCTTCTCTTCTCTCTACAACAACTCAAAACAACAACAAGAACAATAACAACCATATAAGACCTCAATATAACTATAAGCAAACTCACATCCAAAGCAAGAATCCTTACCTTAGGATGCTTTAGATGAACTCTCTACTCAAAATTACTCAAAAGCTCTCTTAAACCCTTAGAAAGCTTGGGAAAATTGAAAGGAAACTTGAGAGAATTTAAAGAATGGTTATGGCGGTGGAAATGAATGAAATGGAGGGTTTATTACACTTAACCCTTTTTAGCTCATAAGATAACCATCACTTCCCAACTTTGCCCTTACTCTTCCTTGGAAATTCCATCTATATCCTTTGATTCATTTCACTTACACCCCCACACTAACCTGTTCTCCATGAACTTTCTTTACATTTAACTCCCCACTTTTCCTGCTAATTAGGGGTAGAATGGTCATTGTGCCCCAAAGGAAGAATTCTCTAGAAACTCAATACACATTTTGCCAAGCCCTCCGCCGCGGCGAAGAATCTTTCTTCGCCCCGGCGAAAAATTACAGAACCTACACCGTGGGTTGTAGGGCTTCATCGCCACGGCGAAGCTTCTTCTTCGTCCCGGCGAAGTCTGTAACACAAAAACTTCGCCAAGTTTTACAAATTTCAGGGCAACCACTCAACCAGTTCACAATACCCATTCAACCAAGGGCCAACTAAATATTATTACCACTAAACAAACTCAATGAAAGCTGAATCAATGAACATTTAAACAATACAGTAAATCTTAACTACACTTAGAATATGGGAGGGATCACTTACATACTTCCGCAACATCGATACATGGAAAACATCATGCACCTTGTCCATACTAGGTGGCAGTACCAATCTGTAGGCAACCTTTCCTACTCATTGCAATATCTCAAATGGACCTATGAATCTCGATGCTAACTTCCCTTTGTTCCCGAAACGCATCACTCGCTTGTAAGGGGAAACTCTTAGAAACACTTTATCACCTACTTAAAATTCTACTTCTTTCCTTTTCAAATCGGCATAACTTTTCTATCGATCTTGGGCTTGCTTCATTCTTTTTCTGATTAATCTTACATCCTTTATCATTTTCTGAGTCATCTCTGGCCCAAGAGCGGTACTCAACTCATCTTTTTCACCTATCTCATCCCAATGTAGTGGAGACCTACATCGTCTACCATACAAAGGCTCGTAAGACGCCATCTTAATTGTAGACTGGTAACTATTATTATAGGCAAACTCCACCAAAGGTAACATTTCGTGCCATGACATTCTATAATCCATACAGCAGGCTCTCAACATATCCTTAAGCACCTGATTTGTTCTCTCTGTTTGGCCATCCGTTTGAGGATGATAGGCAGTACTAAATGCCAAACGACTACCCAAATTTCTCTGTATACTATTCCAGAAAGCTGAGACAAATCTCGAATCTTTGTCTGACAGTATAATCTTGGGCACACCATGTAACCTGACTATCTCTTTCACATAAATTTGAGGCAACTGATCCGAGGTGGTACTCTCCTTTACTAGAAGGAAATGGGCGGACTTAGTTAATCTATCCACAATCACCCATATAGAATTATACCCCCTCTGTACTCTAGGGAGACCTGTGATAAAATCCATCGAAATGCTCTCCCATTTCCATTCTGGAATACTAAGTGGCTGAAGCAACCCTGACGGCCTTTGGTGTTCTGCTTTTACCTGTTGGCATGTTAAACATTTAGCTATAAACTCTACAATATCTCTCTTCAAACCTGGCCACCAGTAACCTGACTTTACATCTTGATACATCTTGGTTGCTCCAGGATGAGCAGTGTACGGTGTGTCATGAGCCTCCAAAAGAATTCTCTTTTTCAACTCATCGTTCGGAGGAATGCACAACTGATTTCTGAAATAGAGGACACCATCAACTAAGTAGAACTCCATTGTCTTGCCCTCAAGCACTTGCTGCACTAACCTCTGACACCACTCATCGGTCACTTGTTGATTTTTAATGTCCTCCAATAAAGTAGACTGAATCTCTAACCTGGTAATCCTTCCCGGAATCACTTCGATCTACTCTCTATAAAACTCTTCTATTAGTTCTTTCTGCTTGATGAGTCGGGATAGATAGGCTTTTCTACTCAGGGCATCAGCTACTACATTGGCTTTTCCCGGTTGGTACTTAATCTCACATTCATAATCCTTCACTAGCTCTAACCACCTTCTTGGTCTCATATTTAGCTCCTTTTGAGTGAAGAAGTACTTTAAACTCTTATGATCAGTGTAAATGTTACTCTTTGCTCTATAAAGGTAATGCCTCCAAATCTTCAAAGTAAAGACCACAGCTGCCAACTCTAAATCATGCGTAGGATATCTTGTTTCATATTCTTTCAATTACCGAGAGGCATAAGCTATTACCCTACCTAACTGCATTAATATGGCGCCAAGTCCTTGCAATGAGGCATTTGTATAAATGTCATAATCTACACCTTCCTATGGTAACACTAACACTGGAGCTGATGTTAACCTATTCTTCAACTCTTGGAAACAGTCCTCACAAGCTTTTAACCATACAAAATGAGTCTTCTATTTGGTAAGAGTTGTCAATGGTTTAGCCAACTGGGCAAACCCTTCAACAAATCGTTTGTAATAACCTGCCAGGCCTAAGAAACTTCTGACCTCTTTTACTGTCTTCAGCCTCTGCCACTCAAAGATTGCCTTTATCTTACTCGGATCTACTGAAATCCCTTCCTTAGACATTGTATGGGCCAAAAATATTACTTGATCGAGCCAAAACTCACACTTGGAAAATTTAGCATACAACTGCTTTTCTCTCAATCGTTGCAACT